TTCCGTCAAATGAGACCTTCATGGCCAGTGGGAGGTGTAGAGAGTAGGACTTTCGTCCGTCAGCGTCACTCTCAGGGGGAGGTACGTCCGAGGTAAAAAAGTCGCTCGATAGAGCGCGCCGAATGCATGGCATGGCGATGGCGCACGACACGAGCGACCACAAGCAGCACCACCCGTCTCTCTCCACCACCGCCTTTGCGACGTGCCGCCACACGTCAGCGGGTAGGGCGTTTGGGTCGCAGTAACGGATCTCCGCGCCCATTCCGTGTTTCGATCGCTTTGCGCGCGGAGGGGTGATAAGGGACGACTCCCCCTCCTCCACTTGTTCCTCCTCTTCCTCCCCTTGCTCAGCCTCCCAGTCCCTCCTTTTCGAGTTCCTCCTCCAACTGCTCACATGGACTAGCGCTCCCTCTAACCTTCGTCCCGCTCCGTGTCTTTCTCCCTCTAGACGTATCCTCGCCACCAGCCGCGTCACACCAGCCAAATGTTACCGTTGAAGGGTAGTTGAGTTTCACGACATGAGATTCTGGTGCTGGGAAAAAACTTTGCTGAAGAGGAAGTGTGATTTGTCATTTTTGTTCTCATCTCTGGTTGTGATGTGAGGTGACGGGATTCTCATGCAATGTTGTCAGAGACCGTACATGCTGTCAGTGCGATTGGGTTGGGAGGGAGGGAAATCAGGTGGAATAAGGTAGTACATCGGGTAACTATCTCAGTTATCGTCAGTGTGAAATGTTCGCGAAATGATAAGGGTGCACGTCAGGGAAATCAAAACTAGCAGCGTTGACGAAACAGCTGTTCGCATGGTTTGAAGTTTCTGTGTTACTCGCGGGAGAGAATTGCCCCAGTGCCTTGTTTGGTGATTCGCTCTTGCCCACGTGTCCCCAAATTGCTCGAGTGGCCATCCAATTCAGTGATAATTTCTCGAGTGGCCACGCCATGGCATTTTCGAGGTGTTTTTTTTCTCCAGCACATTACCCTACCAGGGTTTGTATCCCCGAAATTCCTCGTTCGCACGAGTTTCATCAAGCGGTAGTGATTCGTACTATTCCCCACCCGAAAATTTCGGGTGGTTGGCGGGCGCGAACGTGGCCCGACCAACAGTATATGCGCGGCCATTTTTGCCCCAATGCGCGACCAATGAGCGCGCGGGCAAACAAATTCGTAACCAATGAGCGCTCGAGCATATAAATTGCTCGTAACCAATGAGCGCGCGGACAAATACATCAGCGTTCATAAACTGCAACGCCAGAGCATAAATGCACGAACATATTATTGACCGCGCACGATTGGTCGATAATATGCTTCTTGCCCTTTTTGGCAATGCGCGTCCAATCACGCACAGTCATATAATTCACGACCATATATTTAGGCGATAAAGGGTCGCCCAAAAACCAATATGAGCGCGCATATACTACCATTAGTTCTATCATATTTGCAGTCCATATAAAACTATGTATATCAAATGCCATAAATATATTCTCTGCTATTAATTTAAACCCTTCATAACCTTGGTGGCAGCATATTATGCTGGGCTTAAATTAATATTATGCTGCCGAACATATTATTTATGCAACCATATTACCGGCAATACAATATCATGGACCACGGTGTCATGGGCTTAAATTAATATTATGATAGGCCACGATACAATATTATGTCTAGTATGATGGGCTTACATTAATAGCAGATAATATATTTATGGCATTTGATATATATGGTTTTATCAACCCTAGATGGGAGCTACTCAATACTGTAGAAGCTGTACACATGGCATAAGAAGGTCCCATTTACCTTAATCTACATGTAAGTGTATTGTCAAGACCATTCTAGAAACAGCATCACATACAGCAAGAATTCTGCTACAGAAACTTAGTAGTTCGTCCACCTTACCTAAAGTTATTTCCATTTGTCATAAAAAATATATCGCCTTCATGTAAGGTGGCGTTCCCACGTTTGCCCGCCATCGAAGTTCACCCACGCGGTTCGCCAACTTGTTAAATGTGAAGAAATTGGGGCCAACGCGGCTCTAACTTTGCCCATCAATAACACCTTTAGTTGCTTCTTCAGCAGTGTCCTGGGAAGCACTCGGTTGGGTTTTCTCCATAAACTGCTGAGGAGGAGGAGACTTGGTATTGTTTTCCTTGAAATCTGCACCCCACCAATCATAAGCACACACAACACACGATTTCATTCGCTTAAGAAGGTCCCGCCAGTGTGTACAGTAATCGACGATTGTCAGGGCAATTAAAAACTTACTGCCACCTACATGGCAAACGTAGCAATGAATATAAACCCATCAGCCTAGAAACAATACTTGAAAAGCAGACCGTGCCGGAAATTTCGTACCAATGGCAAGCAGCACCAATGGCAAGCAGCACCAATGGGAAGCAGCACCAATGGGAAGCAGCACCAATGGCAAGCAGCACCAATGGGAAGCAGCACCAATGGCAAGCAGCACCAATGGGAAGCAGCACCAATGGGAAGCAGCACCAATGGCAAGCAGCACCAATGGCAAGCAGCACCAATGGGAAGCAGCACCAATGGCAAGCAGCACCAATGGGAAGCAGCACCAATGGGAAGCAGCACCAATGGCAAGCAGCACCAATGGCAAGCAGCACCAATGGCAAGCAGCACCAATGGCAAGCAACACCAATGGCAAGCAGCACCAATGGGAAGCAGCACCAATGGCAAGCAGCACCAATGGCAAGCAGCACCCAGGGGAAGCAGCACCCAGGAGGCCCCCGTCATACAGCCACGATTTTTGAACTCTTCGAAGAGCCACGGCTGTGTGGCGGTTTGGGTCAACCCCAACGTTAAGTCGGTCCTACAGCACTAACCAATAAATAGCTCATGGGAAACCCCAACGTCGTACATATCTTTGGCCTGCCATACAGCCTGGTTATTGAGCTTGTTGTAATTTGGCGAAACTGAAACCGCTCACACAACACTCAACGATGGACAGGTCCCAGTCACGGCTCTTGAGCTCTCGGCAGGGGGAAGGGGGTCGCCAAGCATGTGCCTGTATCACCCTCAAAGGACACTCACCAACGGACAGGTCCTAGCCACACTTGCTGAGCTCGTGCGCAAGCAGTGGCAGCAGTGGTATTCCTCACAGGACACTCACCGATAGACATGTCCCAGCCACAGTTTTTGAGCTCGCGGTGCTCCTGGGAGATGGAACAGAACGCACAGCACCAGTGCATGCAGAAATCGTCACACCAGTGCAGGCTAGACGAATCGGGTCACAGAGGCATGTGCCTGTATGAGCCTCAGAGGACACTCACCGATAGACATGTCCCAGCCACGGCTTTGAAGTTCTCGGTACTCCTGGGAGATGGCACAGAATGCACAGCACCAGTGCAGGCAGAAATCGCCGCAGGGCTTTGCCGGAAGGTCGTACCTCGCCCTCAGCGATTCTCGGTATTCTGAGTGTGGAGGGAGGGAGGGAGCGGGGGGGAAGGGAGGGAGGGAGGGGGGGAGGGAAGGAGGGAGGGAGAAGGGGAGGGAGGGAGGGAAAGAGGGAGAGAGAGTGGGCAAGAGCACCTGTGGACATCCATTGCAGAAGAGGCACTGGGTGTTGCACCATAAGTCCTATTTACTTGACTCACACGTCACCTAGTCGACTCAAATCGACTCAAACGTCACCTAGTCGACTCAAATCGATTTAAACGTCACCTAGTCGACTCAAATGTCACCTGGTCGACTCAAATGTCACCTAGTCGACTCAAATCTCACCTAATTGTTTCAAGGGTCACCTCAAGACGAAGAAGGGAGTGGGAGAGAGTGGGAGCGAGTGTGTGTGAGTGGGAGAGACCACGATGCAAGCAAAAGCACTGGGCGATGCACCGGAACGCTGTTGAGCTGACAAAGATATCAGGAAACTCTACAACACCTGAAAAGGAAGGAGAGAGTGGGGGAGATTACCTGTGGCCACGACACAGCCGCTGCAGCACAGGCACTCGGCGGTGCACCAGAAGGCGCATATGTCATTTGCGTCTGAGATTCACAGGGCAGGGCACGAAGCATGGTATCATGAGTCACTCGTGCTGGGTCAAGGGGTGATAACCACCATCGCGGAAAGAAAGTGATTTTTGAGAAGTCTAACAAAAAAAATCAGGCTAAAAAATCACTTGCGTCTGAGAATCACAGGGCACAGAGGGGTCTGAGATTCACATCACAGGACAAGAAGCATGGTATCATGAGTCACTTGTGCCGGGTCAAAGTATAATAACGAGTATACAGCTGGCTTCACCGTAGGATCCCATACAGCAAGCTTTTGAAGCCTGCAGGATTTTTTTTCCTTACTAAATCTCTATAAACCCTGCATCTGCATCATACCCGTGGCCATGAGAATGATGATTACGAGGATATTTGTAATGTGTTACTTCGAGCCCCACGTCAACGCTTTTGAACCTTCTGAAACGCTAGTGACTGTTAACGGCGCTACTACTATTACCACGAATATCACGCATTTTCGTCTCACATAGTGCCTTCGCATTTTCGTTTCACATAGCCCGTCGCATATTCGTCTCACATCACCTTTTCTTTCTCTGCGATAGAGCATAATAAGGTTGAATAAAAGAAAAGAGGATTGAAATGGCTTACCGTGTTTGCCTGCATCCACGATGTTCGCGACTCGGCCAACGGCTAAACAGGGACACCAAAGGACGCGACAGCCTGTAACATGGATGCAGGGCGAAGAATGAAAAAGGCTATTAATTTTGACGAAAAATAATATTAAATAGAAAACAAAAACTGCTCGATGTGCTCACGAAAAACGGAAAAGTTACATGTATTCATATCTTCGAAACAGCCGCACCACCCAGAGGTCCATTGACCCAACTCAGGGTAAGCGCCTTCCGCCATGCCGCCTAATCAAGTGAAACAGATTACTGCTTCAAGAAGTTATCGAAGGTAGCGAATAAAGTCAGTTAGGCTAAGACATCTTCCCGAAAGTGGAAAGGTGTGCAAATATGGCAGCAGGCACTCAAATGTGCCTAGAGACTTTCGAGTGCGGGGCGGAGAGTGGGGGAGTCGAGTGTGAGGCGACGAGTGAGGGAGTCGAGTGTTGGGTGACCAGTAAGGAGGGAGTCTAGTGCGGGGCGACCAGTAAGGAGGGAGTCCAGTGTGGGGCGACCAGTAAGGAGAGAGTCGAGTGCGGGGCGACGTGAGGTGTCGCTTCGGGAAGGAATCGCGCCACGAGACAAGGGAAACTTGAAAACCGTCGTGCTTCGGGTTCGGCTTGGTGTGGGCTTGATTGGATCAGACAGGTCTGGTTCTAATATGCTCTGGGTAGTATTCCGGTTCGGATGGTTTCGTTCGGTTCAGGGATTTAGTTCTGATACACAAGAAAGAGCACACTACTAAACAACAAAAGAATGTACGGTAAGCCAGTCTATTAATATAAATGATTCCCACTTGGTATTATATTATTCACATCACAAACGAGCAGTAAATGCCACTTCATACGCCTGTTCTCCTCGCCGGCCCAGGATCTTTCCGATCCCACAGCGTCCTACCAGAGAGAACGGACGAGAGGCGCTCAAAGAGAGTCCTGCGAGTAACACCACAGGAGGCAAAGAACCATTGCACATTGCAACCATTTGAAAATAGTAAACAAGAAAAGAAGGAAAGTTGAGGGGGAGGGAGTGGGGCATGGACGGGAGGGGGAGGGGGAGAGGGAGGCAGGGAATAATGGGTAAAGGAGAAGCAAATCAATGGAGCGGGAAGGCCGAGAGCATACAACAATGATCACCTCTATACTCACCATGTGAGCTCTTGCTGCACATTCGAGTCGACTCAAAAGGTTCACCTAATCACCTGATTTTATTTAGGCACCTCAAAAGCCAGCTCAGTCCTTCTGACCACCAGGGCCCAAAATTGGTTTTGGTCCACCCTGACTAATCAGGGTTTCAGGCCAGCTCTACCCTGACTCTTAGGGTAAAAAATTTCATACCCTGCAAAAAACAGCCTAAAAAAACTTGTACACTGAGTATGACAGTGTACAAATTATCATACACTGACTTGTAGTTTTTATTAGTTTAGAAACAACAGGATGTGTCTCAACTGCTGAGATGTTAGGCTAGGTATTGTAAGAACGCAAGTTCGAATCCCAGTGCCATCCCAAAGTTTTGCGGCATCGCAAGGAAAAACCTCGCTACAGAGGATTCGGTATCAGTGTAATGTACAGTGTACCCTGATACCGCCAGGGTAACCAAAATCGCTATCAGTGTAAACCGAAACTTAGCCTGTTTGCTCTAGGGTAAAAAGTTTGATACCCTGTTTAGAAAAGGGTAACTGGGAAAAAGCGGCCGCCCATCAGGGCAAACAGGGTATTTTACCCTGATAATTTGGGCCCTGCTGACCACCCATCTACTCACCATGTGAGTGCTTCCTGCACTTTTGCGTCAACTCCAAAGTCAACCTGATCACCTTGATTTATGAGGCGCATTTATTGTCACCTAATCACACATACACTCACCATGTGAGTGCCTGCTGCATTGATCGCTTCAGTACACGCGGCACCACCCCTCGGAAGAAACCAGGTAGGCCCTGCGACTGGGGGGGGTTGGGGGAGAGAGGAGGAAACAGAGGAGATGGGGGACACGGAAGGGGAGGAGGCGACAGAGGAGGTGGGGGAGACGGGGGAGGAGGAGGTGACAGAGGCAATGGAGGGGATGGAAGGGGCAGGAAAGGAGCTGTCAGTAGCGGACAGGTGGGCTGCAAAGGCCTTACTTCCATCAACTCGTGTGGTTCAGATGGGACAGATGGGACAGAGGAAACGAAGTGATGTACTTTCCAATGAGCGAGCATCCCTAAGACCTCACGGGAGTAAGGTGACCAGGAGATACGAGGAGATAAGGTGACGAGGAGAACAGGTGACATGGTGACGAGGAGATAAGGTGACGAGGAGAACAGGTGACAAGGTGACGAGGAGATAAGGTGCCTAAAATCCCAGACACTATGAGTAATGATCGATTGTTCCATAAAAACCCAGACATGATAAGGTCTCATGATCGTTCCGCAGCACACTTTTATTCGACGACGTTTCAAAACCCACCATCCTTTATTAACCTTCATCACTTGGTGGACTTCTTAACGTTTCACCATACTCGTTTGCAACACCTACCTTGTAACGGTAGAATGAAACGAAAACAATTTCATGCAGTCATAACTCTCCCAACAGAAAAATCGCAAAAAAAAAAGAGACGAATCAATTACAACGGCTTTTTGAGGCGCCTCGAAAGTCATCTACCATTTTCACCACCCTCGTTTGCAACCTACCTTGTAAATGGCTGACGTGGCACCGAGCATGGTCAGGGGCTTGCCAGGTGTCGCACGCAGAGTGGCCAGCTGCAGATGGGTTCGCACCTGACCAGGGGGGATGCACGCACACACACACATGCGAAGAGAACAGCACGTGGGACCAAAGTAGCACGGATGCACCCAATGGTTCCAAATGATCAGACATGGACTGAAAAAACAGAGTATTGTGATTCGAAACGGCTAAGAAATGAACAGCGGATTGCACGCAAGGGAATGTCCACACTGCGCGCCGACACGACGTGCCATGCTATGCAATGGCGGCACTCAATGCAAAGAATGTTAACTCGAAATGCAAAGAATGTTAACTCGAAATGCAAAGAATGTTAACTCGAAATGCAAAGAATGTTAACTCGAAATGCAAAGAATGTTAACTCGAAATGCAAAGAATGTTAACTCGAAATGCAGAATGCGCAGAGCTCATTGCTCACCACATCAGGTGGGTGGGTGGGTGGGTCAGAATAGCTGCGAGAGCTCCCTCCCGCCGTTGCTCCTGTGAGTTCTTGCACTCAATGCATGGATACCTAACTCACATGCTCAATGCTCAACGCGCAATGCTCAACGCGCAATGCTCAACGCGCAATGCTCAACGCGCAATGCTCAACGCGCAATGCTCAACGCGCAATGCTCAACGCGCAATGCTCAACGCGCAATGCTCAACGCGCAATGCTCAACGCGCAATGCTCAACGCGCAATGCTCAACGCTCAATGCTCAACGCGCAATGCTCAACGCTCAATGCTCAACGCGCAATGCTCAACGCTCAATGCTCAACGCTCAACGCGCAATGCTCAACGCTCAATGCTCAACGCGCAATGCTCAACGCGCAATGCTCAACGCTCAATGCTCAACGCGCAATGCTCAACGCTCAATGCTCAACGCGCAATGCTCATTGATCATTTCTCATTGCTCACCACATCAGGCGGGTGAGTAAGAATGGTTGCGAGAGCCCCCGCTGCTGCTCCTGTGATTCGTTCAGATGCAAAAGCAGGGAGGCAGGGAGGGAGACAGGAAGGCTTCGGGTAGGAGCTGCGGAAAATGTGAGAAACAATGGTGAGACGATGTGAACAACGATGCCTAAGGGAGAAATGGTGGAAGAAAGGGTGGACGGAAGAAAGGGTGGAAGGAAGAAAGGGTGGAAGGAGAAGGGGTAGCGGAGAGGGGCCCAGCGGACCTGCTGGCATAGTGGAGAGGGACTGTGGGGAAGGAAGAAAGGGTGACAACGGCACAACACCAGATCAAACTACGGGCGGAGAATAGCAACATGCGCTCTATGAAATCACGTGTAAAAAGGTGAATTTTTAGTCGACTCAAAAGTCACCTCGTTTCCATGAAATCACGTGTAAAAAATGAGTTTTCGAGACATCTCAAAAACTCACTTATTACACGAAGAATAGCAACATGCGCTCTATGAAATGCGCTCTCTGAGTAATGTGATGTGTGAATGACAAGAATAACCCATCCACCCACCCCACATACACACCTGCGGCCATGTAGAGGCTGTGCGGGCGGCATGACCATCGTCAGTGGAAATGCGAGTTTTGATCTATGAGAAGATACAGGGAGGGAAACCCATTCCACCCCTGGCACCCCACCCCACCCCACCCTACCCGTAAACACACCTGCTGCCATTGTAGAGGCTGTGCGGGCGGCATGACCATCGTCAGTGGAGATGCGATCTGTTGGTCCGCAAGCAGAAAGGCAAGCAGGCAGGCAAGGAGGCAGGGAGGCAAGGAGGCAGGCAGGCAGGCAGGCAGGCAGGGAAGGGCAAGAGCATATGGGGATAGTGGCAAGAGTGTGGCGGTTGGTTGGGAATGATGAGGTGAGGAGATGCATGCTTGTAGGCAATGAGAGCGCACGAGGGGCCATGGAGGTGGGCATGGAGAGAACAAAGTGTGTGCTGTGATGTGTGGTGATGTGTGGTGATGTGTGGTGATGTGTGGGCTATGTGTGGTGATGTGTGGTGATGTGTGGGCTATGTGTGGGCTATGTGTGGGCTATGTGTGGGCTATGTGTGGGCTATGTGTGGGCATGTGACGGTGCATCTCTCACATACAGCACCGTGCATGCAGCCTCCATGCATTCCCTACCTGCCCTACCCTAGGGTTGATTAAGAACATACATTACCGTGAATGAGGGAGCGCATGCGGGAGTAGAGCACCAGATAAATGCCAGAATACGGCGCATCTCTTAGCAGAGTGGTTCCCAATCCTCGATATAAGCCTGCATTACATACAGCCAATAATAAAAACCATGCAAAAAAAAACACACACACACACACAATGTAAAAATGGAGAATCTTTCAATTTTACTTCCAATCACACATATGCTAATAATTCCAGGCTTGTACTGCAAAAAAAAACACAAACAGGTGTTTACCTGCGATCCCTTCTGACCTGGCAATTGCCATCAATCCGCCGACGGTTCCTTTATAAGATTCTCCGCTCACTGCAGAGAACTGCACTGTAAAAAGGGGGGTGGAATAACAACACAACACAAACGGTTGCAGAGCATTATGATTTAATCCCCCCATGGGTGTTCAATCCCCATGGTATGGGACACTGGGTGCACAAAAAGCAACTGGACAGTAGTAAGTGGGAGAAGAAGGAATGACGGAGAGCACACACCGCCGTAGTGGGAATTAGAGGAACCAGGAGGAAAGCGAATTGCCGCTTTCCAACGAAGCAACTAGGAGCAAGAGCATCACAGATGCGTATTGCCAGGAGAAGATTCCGCATTGCAAAAAGTACCGTTTCTCCTCACAGTGCAAGACCACTGGTCGTTGTCCAGTCGTCCAGTCAGGAAAAAACAGTTCACAGGTGCATAATCGGGAGGCAGATCCACGGTCAGCGGGCGGCAGATCCAAATCATGGGCGGCAAATTCACAATCATGGGCGGCAGATCAACAATGAGTGGACAGCACAACTCCCCCATTCACCTCCCCCACTCACCTCTCCAACACTTATTCCTCCCCGTCCTCCCCCCCTCCCCCCCCACCTCCATGCGGGTATTCACCACGAACACGAGGCACAGGGCAGCAGCAGTCGGTGAAAGCAAGAGATGCTAGTGTTGGTGTTTCAAGAGGATGCAGCAAGCGCCATCACCTCCCCCATTCACCTCCACTCACCTCCATGTGGGTTTTCACCACGAACACGAGGCACAGGGCAGCAGCAGGCAGTGAAAGCAAGAGCATGACGCCGCTGGTGTTGGTGGTTACCTTACCTTTAAGATGTAACGCAAGCAATCACCTACCACATTCTCCTCACCCATTCACCCCTCTCTCCCCTCACCCATTCACCCCTCTCTCCCCTCTCCCATTCACCCCTCTCTCCCCTCACCCATTCACCCCTCTCTCCCCTCACCCATTCACCCCTCCCTCCCCTCACCCATTCACCCCTCTCTCCCCTCACCTCCATGCGGGTATTATTCACCACAGACACAGGGCACAGCGCAGCAGCAGCAGCCGCAGCAGGCAGTGAAAGCAAGAGCATGATGCCGCTAGTGTTGGTGGTTACCTCTAAGGTGTAGCGAAAGCCATCACCACCACCTACCCCATTCGCTGTTCCCCCATTCACCTCTCCCCTAACCTCCATGCGGGTCTTCACCACCGAAACGGGGCACAGCGCAGCAGCAGCCAGTGAAAGCAAGAGCATCATACCGCTAGTGTTGGAGTTACCACTAGGATGAAACAAGAGCCCTCACCTCACCTACCCCATTCGCTGTTCCCCCATTCAACTCCCACTAACCTCCATGCGGGTCTTCACCACCGAAACGGGGCACAGCGCAGCAGCTGCCAGCGATCTCGAAACCACCGCCGCCATAAACGTAACCCGCGACGAGAACTGCGCAGCACCCGCACCCGCGCCTGTAACCCCCCCTGAAACCCCACCCTTTCGACCATCCGCACCCAGCGCACCCCCCTTCTCCTCCTCCTCCCCCACCCCGCCTTCCTCCCTCCCCTTCCGCCGCCTCCGCCTCCGCTTCTCCTCCACGGTATTCTCTAGGGCGGCGAGAGCGTGCATGGCTGGATCCAACGTGGCAAAGAAAAGCCCGAGGCCCAGCCCGAGGCGCACGCACGTGGGCCCCGTGCCGCGCCACAGCCCCCGCACGCCCTCCTTGCGGAGAATCATCCGAACCACATGGCTCATGCTCGGCTGTAGCGGCGGGGCAGTTGCCGCTGCGGCTAAGGCTTTTCTCGTGGCGGCGGTTGCGGCGGTGGTGGCGGCTGTAGCGGCGGCGGTACTGGCTGGATTTGTAGCTGGGTTTGTAGCTGCGGCTGTAGCAGCGCTTGCAGTGAGGCCTATAGCCGCGTCTACCGCTGCCGATTTTAGCGACCGAGAACCCACGTCTTTCGCTGCAGCTGCTGCTGCTGTTGCTGATGATGATGATGCCATCTTGCCAACGGACGGTGACGATGATCCCTGAAGATGCGTGCGGATCACATCGAACGGCTGCAGCAGTACGCCTGTGATGAGCCCCGTCGTCGCTCCCCATAGAAAATTCCCGCCGATTTTCCGTTTTTTCCCAGATCCTGACAACCCCGAATCATTATTCTTTACAGAAGCAGGATTGGTATTGCATGGTGTTGCCGTCGAATCGCTAGCTGAGCTATCGCCTGCTGCTGCAGACGAAGCCATGGCCGGACTGGAAGTATCCTTGGACAGGCGACCCGCAAAAAAAGGAGATTCGAAAAAATAGCAGGCCCGCAAACAACGATCAGTGGAAGCAGAGGTCCACTACCATGGCAACGAGGCGTTGTGTTGTGTGACCTCCTGACAAGCCCGAGGGTGCAGATGCACATTTATTTCTATTGATCGGGCAAATATTCTTCAATGACACACCAGTTTGCGAATTGCTTCCCTTCGCAGGGGCTACCATTTTTCGCGGATGCATTCTCCATTTCGTCAAGCCCCTACCCAATTGGGTTGAAGCTTGAATGGCCCTTTGATATTTGCATTTCGGAGGAGCTTGGAGTGGTGTTGATGATACGTGGCTCTGTGCCTTGTGCCTGGGCTTGAAATTTGTCCATCAGACCGTTCTGGTGGATGCGACGTGCGTGCACGACCACAGGGCGTCAGGAGGCGACACTCGCGAATCTGGTAACGCAGAAATCGCATAGCTCGCCAAGTTCTCAGGTCTGGAGGGTTAGGACGCGAAGAAAGAAGACGATCGATCGCCAGTCGCGATCGATGTGCATATTGGTTACCCTATTTACTGCGCTATAACCATGCTACAGTGCGCTTTTTGGCCAATTTTTCTGTACAGCGTGTGAATGCGACTGATCACTGATCGCGGGAGATCTGTCAATTCTCAGGTGCGATCGTTACAACGTCACGGTCACCATGTTTCGCCGATCGATCTGCCCACTCGATTGTGGGGCTCGATATTTGCAGACGATCCTGCGATTTTTGCACTTTCACCGCGTGATTTTTGCACTTCACCGTGTCCTTAGGTCGAGGAAATCGCAAGGGCGTATTTCCGTCCCTACCTGGCTTTGTGGGCTGGTAGCCTCTGCCCACCGACACAGGGCGACATCGAGGTTCGGACCCAATCGTGAAGTGCAGTTCGGACCCACTTTCCTCGCGTTTCATCATGATTTTCATGGCTCATCACGGTTCTTGGAGGTACCTTTCGGAACGCAAAACAACAAATCAAACCTGTGCGCGGTCTAAACCTTCGAGAACATCCCAATTCCCAACCCAAGGTCTCTCGTCTCTCGTGAGTCGTGACTCCTCGTCATCCTCCCTCCATTCATCCTCCACCTAACCACAATTGTCTTGATTGGGTGTTTTTCCAAGTGATTGTCCCTCCAACCTTCAACCCAACCACTAGTTGTGGAGCTAGACTGGACTCCCTTTCATCATTGTAATGAAGTGCAGCTTCGTTTAGGTTCCCAGACGTCGATTTTAGCTTGCTCCCCTGACGTTATCGCCGTTAAATTTACCTGTTCAGTTCGGCCATGACTCGTTAAATCGCCTGATAAGCTCAAGCTGTTTCATATGGACGTACAAAGGTATGGAACTCTTTCCTGCTCAAAAGAGGACCTTATCTCGCGGTTTGTTGCGATAATTTACTTTCTTGGAATACCCCTTTGTGCTCGTAATGAATAACGGCGAAGAACGAAAAGTAGAACTAGGCTGCATTGTCTCCTTTTATTTTTATCATTATTGAGCGCCTGGCTTGTCTTCGTGCCGTGAACTGTGTTAGAGACAGAATTTTAAGCGTCCAATGCAAGCCAGCGACGAATGCTAGTTACCATTGCAATGCAGTTATGCCAAGTTAGTCTGAAAAATGAATGAAACGAAAAACACGTGTATTTTGTAAGGAGTGAACATGTCATGCCAATCGACACTCATTGTTTGCTGCTGCTGGTTGCACAAACAACTACATTTTTTCCTTTTTGAGTTGACTCAAAATCGAAAAATCTAATAAAATTTTGAGTCGACTAAAAAAATATGACAATTCTCCCTTCTAGTCTACAAGTTCTCCGCAAGGAATGTTTTACACTATCTTTTGTTCTTCTGCCCAGATCTCGCGAGAGATTCGCGCGGCTTTTGGCGGGGGACGCGGATGGCGCGCAGCAGCTCGGCGCGCAGCAGCAGGGGGGAGGTGGGGAGTCGTCCAGGGACGGCAATGATAGCACGGATCAGCTTCTGCTGTCTATGCTGACGTGGCACCGGGACATCACGTACGCGGTAAGAACAGGGCGGAAAGTCGAGCTGAGCTTCGAAGTTCTCTTTATTCTCTTCGGAGAATGGCATTCGTTATTCTCACAGCGGTGCGGATGGATAATAAACCTGTCCCAAATATTACTCATCGGTTTTTCACTGAAACCCGCCGTCCAATTGTTTCTTCCACCTTCCCCCCCTCTCTCCCATTCCGTCTTCCCTTCCGTATCTCCCATCCCTGTCCTCATCGGGCCGTGCAGTTGCATCATCCTCCCATTTCTCCCTGTGCCTTTCTCCCTGTGCCTTTCTCCCTAACTTGATTTGCTCAAAACTCCCTTCCTCCCCCCTCAACCCCCCCTCCCCTCCCTTCTCATCCCTCCCTTGTCATCCTTCTCCTCCTCCCTTCCCCCCCTTCCACCTCCCTCTCCCCCTCTCCCCCAGCTCTGCCCGTGCACAGACGACCTCTGCGAGCAGCATACCGCCCACGAGCATATCCTAAGTTGCATTCCCCTCGCTCTCCCCACCCCCTCTCCCTCCTTCCCCTTCACCCCCAGCTCTGCACGTACACAGTCGACCTCTGCGAGCAGCATACCGCCCGCGAGTGCTACACTAAGCTGCATTCCGTTTTTCCTCTTTCTCTCCCATTCCCCTCCCTCTTCCCACCCCCTCTCCCTCCTTCCCCTCTCCCCCCAGCTCTGCACGTGCACAGACGACCTCTGCGAGCAGTACACCGCCCGCCAGGCCGTGCTTAGCCCACACATGCCTTTCTTTCTCTTCCCCGCACTCTCTTCCTCCCCCCCTTCTCCCCCAGCTCTGCACGTACACAGACGACCTCTGCGAGCAGCATCGGAATGCCGAGGCTGGGAATGCTGCGGCTGGGAGTGCTGAGGCTGGGAGTGCCGAGGCTGGGAATGCCGAGGCTGGGAGTGCCGAAGCTGGGAATACGGAGGAAGCAGGGGCGACAAACAAAGCAGCAGCGGTGACAGAAGAGGGCGGAGGCGAAGCGGACCGCCAGGGCTCGATTCCTGCCGCTGTGAAAGCAGCAGTGCTGGCGGAACTACAGAGTAACGGGTATCTCAAGGCATTCCAGGCGCTTGTATCTGAGGGTCAAGGGCTGGTTGAGCAGGCGCGAGGGGACTTGGGGGAGTGGGCGGAGGGGGAAGGATCGGGGGAGGAGGAAGGAACTGGGGCGAGGGAGAAGCGGGGGAAGTTGATGGTGGAAGGGGGCTGGCGGGGGAAGTTGATGGTGGAAGGGGGCTGGCGGGGGGAGTTGGCGCTTCCGCTGCTGGATATGTTTGGAACGGTGCATAGGCTGAAAGGGAGGGTGGCGGAGTGGGTGGGAGGGTGCGAGCGGGCTGGGGAAAGCGGGAAAGGAAGCGGGGAAGCGAGTGGGGAAGCGAGTGGGGAGGCTTCGGGGGAGGCGAGTGAGGCGGCGGGGGAGACGGTGGGGGAGGGGGAGCGGTTGTGGGCGCAGTTGGAGGAGGAGGTAGCAGCGGCAGCCATGGCCGCGCTGCAGGCGGGCAGGGATGAGATCATGGCGGAGGTCAGAGCAGTGGCGGCGGAATGCACTCAACTGCTGGGCAAGACGGACGGGTGAGTGTGTGGAGGGGAGGGGATGTGGGGAGCAAACGGAGTGAGCGACGGGTGAGTGGGTGCGTGGATCACTGTAGAGTGCACGCTGAGTGATCAGAGCCGTGGCGGCCGAATGCACTCAGCTACAGGGCGAGGCGGGCGGGTGAGTGGCCGCCGGAGGGGGGGTTGAGTGAGTGGGTGGGTGGGGGAAGAGTGGCGGGCGGGTGAGTTAGAGCCTTGGGCGCATTGCAGGCGGGCAGGGATGAGATCAGAGCCGTGGCGGAGGTCAGAGCTGTGGCGGCTGAATGCACTCAGCTGCTGGGTGAGACGGGCGGGTGAGTATGAGGGGGAGTGGGTGCGAGGAGAAAAGGCAGGGTGAACCGTGAATGACGGGTGAGTGGGTGATTGTGGTGATTCACTCTAAAGTGTGCGCTGTGTTGTGCCAAAGTACTATAGTGGCACGGTCATCGCACTCCCATTCAGCCTACAAGCCTGCTCAGCTTCTGGAATTTTGTGGGGTGGTGCTTCAACATGTGTTCTTCAAATCCTCAAAGTTTCAGAGTTTTTGAAGCAGTTTACAAGGCATTGCAACATTTTTAGTTTCAAGACTTATGGCATCCCGGAAGTGTGTGTTACTCTTTTTTGGTAACACCCGAGTTCACCATTTCGGCTGCTGACTCATCTACCGAGCTCTGATTGGTCTGAAAATCGGTGTGGCAGTCCTTTGCCATGTTGTGCAGGTGGTCACCGAGTTTCATGACAACCCAGCATCGGAGCAGCACGTGACAGCTGTCGAAAGTTACTGTTCCGTAGTCATGGTGCACTGTTGGCAGCATTTCCCTTGCCACCTTTTCATTGTTGTCATGCCAATGGTGCAGGGACAGAGAATGAGACAAAAAGTACAGGTGGTCAAGTGGGACTCTACCACCCTCCTTTTGAGAAGTGTGGTCTTCCTAAAAGCAGCTTGCAAGAGGGTGCAAGTGGGAAGACAAGCTGACTCATGGTTGGCTTGACTCACTATTGGTAGCCTTGAGTACAGCTCTGAACATCCAAGTGTGGTTGGCTTTGCTGACCTAGCTAGGACGTTTCCCATCCTTCTCTAGCCTTTCTCCCCTAGGACTCAACCTTCTCTGAGTTCCCAGGATGGTCCCAAACCCTTAAGAGTCCCCTAGGCAATGTTGCACTCAACCTCTTCCTTGCATCAATGAAGCTACTCGTTTTTCAGCCGAGCTTACGTTTTTGTTCACTGCGTAGCGCATACAACTCTGATGAAAGCAAGCCATATACCGTTGGAAAGCAGACACCTGAAGCTAACGTCGGTCCAAGTTTCAGCCTCGTTTGTTATCGGAGCTGATCGTGACGGCGTTTTGAACAGAGGCGGTTCGAAGTCATCAGATTCTGCTTAGGTGGTTTCAAGGGCATCTACGACCCCTAAGTGGACTCTAGACTATAACAAGTGGTATCAGAGTGGTTCTTCTCTGTTCCTGGGTCAATATGGAGGCTGAAGGTTCTGCTCCAGCTGGTCCTAGTGGCAGTGGTGGCGTGAGAGGCGCTGGGGAAGCAGGAAGAGGCGTTGTAGGCGGATCTGCACCAATAGCATCCGTTTCAACACCAGCCAAGGATGATGTGAAGGCATTTAACCTAGAGAAGTTCTCTGGGGAGGATTGAGCATCATGGAGCTTCAGGATGGAGCTTCAGGATGGAGCTCCTATTTAACCATTATGGACTGCTTGAAGTGATGGATGGAGAATTGAAGAGGCCTGCGAGCGAAGGAGCGACCAAGGAATGGGATCGCCGATCCAAGGATGGATTCTTCCTTCTCTCTCAATGCCTCTCATCCAACCAGCTGCACCACGTCAAGCATCTCATCAAGGATATCCAGTGTGGTCCCAAGGCATGGAAAATATTGAAGGATGTCCATGCCCCCAGCAGCGAAGCGATGGTGGTGGTGCTCGAACGACAACTCCATGCGGTGAAGATCAACGAGGGTGATGCGGTGCAAGGAGCGTTCGATCAACTCCGGGACCTCTATGTGAAGCTCTCTGCTGCTGGTGTGGACTACCCTGAAAAGATCAAGTGCTACAAGGCTCTCTCCCTGTTGCCGGAGTCGTGGGGGCCCTTGGTGGTCAACCTCAATGGCATGAAGGACTCATGGTCCCTTGAGTGGATTCGTGCTCAAGTCGTTCAAGAGGAGTTTCGGAGGAAGGAGCTGACTGCCGCTGCCGGTGAAGGTGGAGGCTCTGCCTATGGCATGAAAGGCTTCAAGGGACGTGGCAGCAAGAAAGGCAAGGCCAAGGAAGTCTCTGGAGGGGAGCAGTATTCGGGAGGGAAGCGTAGCAACAAGGGAGGCAAGCGGTGTGGCGGCAAGTGTTGGTATTGCCATGTGGAAGGTCACCCATGGTTTAAGTGTCGCAAGCTACCTGATGGTTGGAGGCCTGGTCAGCCATCAATTGAAGGCTCTAAGGGTGTTCATGGAGCTATGGGAGAAGGCATGGGCAGTAAGGAGGGCGATGGAGGTGCCGGCGGACATGGCGGCATGTTCTACCATGTAGGAGAGGCATGCTCCGAGGATATGGTTGTACCGGCCAGCAAGGTTGCTCTTCACCGTTCCTCCCATTGGGTCATCGACACGGGAGCCTTCATGACCATGACCAACCGAGAGGATCTGCTGGATGAAGTTAGGCCATCAAAGGCAGCCACCGTTGTTTCAGCCACCGGCCAAGTTGTACCCGTGCGTGGCGAGGGGAGAGCCATGTTTATGGGTGCGGATGGGAGGCTTGTGGGGCTGAAGCGTGTTCTCCTTGTCCCTGGACTATGTGCCAACCTTCTCTCTACCAAGGCATTGAGTGAGGCAGGGATGAAGATGGAGATGATGGGCACAAAGGTGTTCAAGGCAACTCTGGATGGGCGCGTGTTGTGGGACCTCCGAGGCGGCAAGGACATGCACCGGTCCATGTGGGAGATACCGGTGCTGCCATGGAAGGAGGCGGCTGCGCTCTTGGCTGCTGAAGCTGTAAGAGGAGGGCATGCAAGCCACGCAACCAGTGGAGGAGGTGGTGATGGTAGTGATGGTGGGCTGCTTGTGCATGGGGGGGGTGCACTACCAAGTGTAACTCCTAGCACGGGTGAGACGGATTGGTTCACCGCACACCGTCGCTTTGGCCACGTGGCGCTACCTCAGTTACAGCAGCTGTTTAAGGAGGAAAGAGTCAAGGGGCTGAGGATAAAGGGGGAGCCCAAGGAGGTGGGCTCTTGTGAGACTTGCTTGACCAGCAAGTTCTCACGATTTCCCTTCCATTCGACGGTGGGGCAGTCAAGTGACCCGGTGGAGCTCGTGCATGTGGATCTTGTGGGGCCCATGAAGGTGAAGGGAGATGGTGGAGCCCTGTATTCCATGACTAGGGTGGATGATTACACAAGGCTCACCTGGTCTTTTCCACTTGCAAAGAAGAGTGATGCTGCAAGAAGAGTGGTTGCCCATGGTGGAGCGAGAGAGCGGCAAGCGGGTGAAGGCGATTCGTAGCGACCGTGGTGGGGAGTTTTTGGGAGCGGAGTTCCGGAGCTGGTTGAAGCGGCATGGCATCAAGCAGCAGCTCACCACGGCCTACACCCCTCAGTCCAACGGCGTGGCAGAGAGAGCGAACCGGACCATCATAGAGGGCGGGAGAACGATTTTGGTGGACTCGGGTCTACCCTTGCGGTTCTGGCCCCTCGCTATTCGTCATGCTACCGTCATCAAGAACCGGGTGTTGACTCATGTGGGAGGTCAGCATTGGGTCCCTATGGAGAAGTGGAGTGGCAAGAAGCCCCTGGTTGATATGCTTCGTGTCTTCGGGTGCATGGGGCTCGTGCATGTCCCTAAGGAGAAGCGTGACAAGCTTCAAGCGGCGGCGGTGTGGGCTGCTCATTTGGGTCTTGCACGGGGGAGCAAGGGCTGGCTCATGTGGGACCCAAAATCCAACACCATCTTCACCACCAGAGATGCCAAGTTCATGGAGGGGCTCATGTTCAAGGAGTGGTCGGAACGGGGGAGGAGCAAGGCCACCATTCCGCTTGGAATAGAGGTGGGAACCAACGACCCACTTCTCATTCCTATCGAGTTGTCCTCATCTTCAGAGTTGACAGAGGTGTCACATGACTTGGGAGGTGCTGAAGGGGAGGCAGCAGATGTGGAAGAAGTACTACAGCAAGGGGAGGCCCCTATAGCTGAGAGAGGTGATACCGAGGAGGAGGTGCAGCAGCCTACACCATCCCCTAAGCTTCCACCAAGGCGCACAACCCAAGGGAAGCGTGATGCTGTCCGTGGTGGAGCCAAGGAAGGAGCAGCCAAGGAGAGGCCCAAGAGAGCTGCCCACCCAAGGGATTTTCTCAAGTATGAAAGGCTTGGGGTTCCCAAGGCATTGCTGGTCCAAGAGGAGGAATATGAGGAGGAAAAGGGAGCCGAGGGGGAGATGGAGCAGATTTGTTGCTTTGGCGTCAACTTACCTCATGAGCCGGCGTCAATGGATGAAGCTCTCGCTGGAGATGATCGAGAGGCGTGGCTGGCTTCAAGGGAGGATGAGTTCCAGAGCCACATGGAGAATGAAACATGGACCCTTACCAATCTTCCCCCAGGAAGGAAGGCATTGGACTGCACGTGGGTGTTACGTGTAAAGACCGATGCGGAGGGGAGGTTGGAGAGGCGCAAGACAAGGCTTGTGATCAAAGGCTTTCAGCAGAGAGAGGGAATTGACTTTCAAGAGGTGTTTGCTCCTATTGCCAAGGCTCCTATGCTCCGGTTGTTGCTAGCAGCCGCTGCCGTTTGTGGCTGGAAGGTGGAGCAAATAGATGTGAAGACGGCATTCCTCTATGGCGTGGTAGATGAGGAGATCTACATGAAGCAGCCAGAGGGGTATGATGATGGGAGCGGACGTGTTTGCAGGCTCAACAAGGCCATCTATGGCCTCAAACAAGCTCCAAGGTGCTGGTATGCAAGGCTGGTGGAGGCGTTGGAGGCTCTTGGCTTCAAAGTTAGCGGTTGCGACGAGAGTCTCTTCATGACCGAGGGGGAGGAGGAGAAGGTATTTCTCCTTGTCTATGTCGATGACATCCTCCTCTTCTCTCCATCCCTAGAGAGGATCAAGGAGGTGCAAGGGAAGCTGAAGGAGACCTTTCAATGCAAGGCCCTTGGACCAGTGGGGTATTACCTTGGTCTTCATGTGGAGCGGGACGAGGTGAAGGGATGGTTGAGGCTTCACCAACACAAGTACCTTGCAGCCATGGGGGAGAAGTATGGGCTGGAGGAAGGGAGGAGTGTGAAGACTCCTTTACCCTCAGGGTTTCAGCTGCACCTTGATGAAGAGGAGGGTGAGGTGTTGGAGTACGAGTTGCAGTGTCGGTTCCAGTCAATGGTGGGGAGCTTGATGTACGCTTCGGTCAACACTCGCCCCGACATTGCGTTTTCAGTTTCACAGCTCGCTCGTGTGGTGTCTAGGCCCCTTCAAGAGCACCTGGATGCAGCAGAGAGGCTGGTGAGGTACTGCATGGCAACCTCAAGGGTGGGGCTGCAATATTCAGTGCATGGGCAGCTGAAGCAAAAGGGAGTGGAGGAGGTGAGCACAAAGACTGGTGCACCTGCAAGGCGTGGGCATTTGTACCTCTCGTGTTTCACCGATGCTACCTGGGCAAGTGACATCAGTGATGCTACATCCCATGGTGGCTATATATGCTGTGTTGGAGGGAGTCCAGTGAGATGGAAGTCTAAGAAGCAAGGAGAGATAGCTCACTCATCAACGGAGAGCGAGTACATGGCGTTGTTTCATGGAGTGAAGGAGGTGGTTTGGATGAGGAGGTTGCTTGAGGAGTTGGGGCAGGAGCAAGAGGGCCCTACACCTGTGTTTTGTGACAGCCAAGGAGCAATTGCAATGGCGCGTAATGCTGTGCTCCATGGGCTGAACAGGCACATGCATATCAAGTGGCATTGGGTGAGGAAGGAGGTGAAGAAGGGCACCATCTCCTTGCACTACATCAACACTATCAAGCAACCTGCGGATTTCTTGACTAAGCGGCTTGCAGAGCATCAGCATTGGAGCTGTGCCACCTTGTGTGGCATGTCCTTCAACTAAGGGAGGCAGCTTCAGGGAGCAGCTAAGGGATGAATGAGAGCACGATGAGGGGGAGTTTGTTGTGCCAAAATACTATAGTGGCACGGTCATCGCACTCCCATTCAGCCTACAAGCCTGCTCAGCTTCTGGAATTTTGTGGGGTGGTGCTTCAACATGTGTTCTTCAAATCCTCAAAGTTTCAGAGTTTTTGAAGCAGTTTACAAGGCATTGCAACATTTTTAGTTTCAAGACTTATGGCATCCCGGAAGTGTGTGTTACTCTTTTTTGGTAACACCCGAGTTCACCATTTCGGCTGCTGACTCATCTACCGAGCTCTGATTGGTCTGAAAATCGGTGTGGCAGTCCTTTGCCATGTTGTGCAGGTGGTCACCGAGTTTCAGGACAACCCAGCATCGGAGCAGCACGTGACAGCTGTCGAAAGTTACTGTTCCGTAGTCATGGTGCACTGTTGGCAGCATTTCCCTTGCCACCCTTTCATTGTTGTCATGCCAATGGTGCAGGGACAGAGAATGAGACAAAAAGTACAGGTGGTCATGTGGGACTCTACCACCCTCCTTTTGAGAAGTGTGGTCTTCCTAGAAGCAGCTTGCAAGAGGGTGCAAGTGGGAAGACAAGCTGACTCATGGTTGGCTTGACTCACTATTGGTAGCCTTGAGTACAGCTCTGAACATCCAAGTGTGGTTGGCTTTGCTGACCTAGCTAGGACGTTTCCCATCCTTCTCTAGCCCTTCTCCCCTAGGACTCAACCTTCTCTGAGTTCCCAGGATGGTCCCAACCCCTTAAGAGTCCCCTAGGCAATGTTGCACTCAACCTCTTCCTTGCATCAATGAAGCTACTCGTTTTTCAGCCGAGCTTACGTTTTTGTTCACTGCGTAGCGCATACAACTCTGATGAAAGCAAGCCATATACCGTTGGAAAGCAGACACCTGAAGCTAACGTCGGTCCAAGTTTCAGCCTCGTTTGTTATCGGAGCTGATCGTGACGGCGTTTTGAACAGAGGCGGTTCGAAGTCATCAGATTCTGCTTAGGTGGTTTCAAGGGCATCTACGACCCCTAAGTGGACTCTAGACTATAACACGCTGAGAGATCAGATCCGATCCCATCCGCGGATGGTCAGCGCGGGGGCGGACCCGCTGACTGGCTTTGTGGTGCAGCACCCCACTCATCCACATTCCCGTTCCCTTCTGAGGCGCCTCAAAAATCGTCTCAGTTCACGCGGTTAGATGGGGAATATTTTCATCGCTGACTGGCTTTGTGGTGCAGCACCCCACTCATCCACATTCCCGTTCCCTTCTGAGGCGCCTCAAAAATCGTCTCAGTTCACGCGGTTAGATGGGGAATATTTTCATCGCTGACTGGCTTTCTGGTGCAGCACCCCACTCATCCACATTCCCGTTCCCTTCTGAGGCGCCTCAAAAATCGTCTCAGTTCACGCGGTTAGATGGGGAATATTTTCATCGCTGACTGTCTTTGTGGTGCAGCACAGCACCCCACTCATCCACATTCCCGTTCCCTTCTTCCCTCCCCTCCCAGCTTCAAGCAAGCAGTGACCCTGCGCTGGCAGCACAGCAAGGGGGGCGCCAAGCCTTAAGCCACCCGCTTCCCCTCTTCCACATCCCTGCCCTCCCTCCCCCCTCCCAGCTTCAAGCAAGCAGTGACCCTGCGCCGGCAGTACAGCAAGGGGGGCGCCAAGGGCGGGGGAGGGAAAATCGGGAAGGCAGGGGGCGGGATGGTGAGCGCGGGGGCAGACGCGCTGACTGTCTTTGTGGTGGACCGCATTCGACAGTTCTGCAGCTGGTGAGTGTTATAAGGCATATGCGAGTGTACTGTAAGGGGTACGTACGAAGGGGTCTCGTCTTGCTGACCCCCTGACTGTCTTTGTGGTGGACCGTATCCGGCAGCTGTGCAGCTGGTGAGTGTTAGTCTTGTCATTCACTCCACCTGGTGTCTCCTAACGCCTATGGGACCAGCACGGCCTGTTGCTGCGGTGAGCCCGGGGGCAGACCCCCTGACTGTCTTTCTGGTGGACCGCATTCGGCAGTTCTGCAGCTGGTGAGCTGATTTAGATCTTGGCCCATGGGCCATTAGGTTGCTCCATCTTGTTCCCTACCTCCACCGCCTCCCCTTCCATCACAGATGGGGAACAGGGCGTATTCTCGTTTCCTCTATCCCTCCCCTTCCTCCCGTCCCCCTTCCCTCCCCCCTTTACTTCAGCCCCATACTTCTCGCCTTTAGCCCCATCCCCTCCCCCTCTGCCCCCAGGGACACCAAGCACGCGCTGCTAGGAGCGCACAGCATGAGCTCCTCCCCCTCCTCCGCCTCCTCTTCTAAATTCTTGGTACTCAGTTCATTTTCTCCTTTCCCCCTCCCCCTCTGCCCCCAGTGACACCAAGCACGCGCTGCAACGGGCACACGACATCTGCTCCGCTTCCTCCTCCTCCTCCTCCTCCTCCTCCTCCTCCTCCTCCTCCTCCTCCTCCTCCTCCTCCTCCTCCTCCTCCTCCTCCTCCTCCTCCTCCTCCTCCTCCTCTTTAGAACACTCTGTTCTCAATTCCTCTTACCGTTTCCCCGTTTCCCCCTCTTCCTCCCCCCATTCCCCCAGGGACACCAAGCACGCGCTGCAACGGGCACACGACATCTGCTCCGCTTCCTCCTCCTCCTCCTCCTCCTCCTCCTCCTCCTCCTCCTCCTCCTCCTCCTCCTCCTCCTCCTCCTCCTCCTCCTCCTCCTCCTCCTCCTCCTCCTCCTCCTCCTCCTCCTCTTTAGAACACTCTGTTCTCAATTCCTCTTACCGTTTCCCCGTTTCCCCCTCTTCCTCCCCCCATTCCCCCAGGGACACCAAGCACGCGCTGCTAGGAGCACACAGCATCAGCTCCTCCCCCTCCGCCTCCTCCGCCTCCTCCTTATCTGATTTTTCGGTTCTCAATTCCTCTTCCCTATTATTCCCCTTCCCTCCCCCCCCCCATTCCCTCAGGGACACCAAGCACGCGCTGCTAGGAGCACACAGCATCAGCTCCGCCCCCTCCTCTGCTTCCTCCTCCAGACGCTCCTCTCTGAAGCGTCTCACCAGCACTCCCTCTCTCCTCCTGCCCTGCCCCTCCCCCAACCCCTTCCCCACTCCCCCCGCCCCCATGCCCCCAGCCCAGGGACACCAAGCACGCACTGCTAGGAGCACAGTCGATCACCTCCCTCCCCTCCTCCTCTTCTGTCAAGCGCTCCTCTCTCAAGCGTCTCACCAGCACTCCCTCTCTCCTCCTGCCCTGCCCCTCCCCCAACCCCTTCCCCACTCCCCCCGCCCCCATGCCCCCAGGGACACCAAGCACGCGCTGCTAGGAGCACAGTCGATCACCTCCCTCCCCTCCTCTTCTGTCAAGCGCTCCTCTCTCAAGCGTCTCACCAGCACTCCCTCTCTCCTCCTGCCCTGCCCCTCCCCCAACCCCTTCCCCACTACCCCCGCCCCCATGCCCCCAGGGACACCAAGCACGCGCTGCTAGGAGCACAGTCGATCACCTCCCTCCCCTCCTCTTCTGTCAAGCGCTCCTCTCTCAAGCGTCTCACCAGCACGCCAGTCAACACCAACCGCCGCTCCCTCGTGCTCCCCGCCTCCTCCGTTTCCGCCACCTACCCTTCCCCTTCCCCTCAAGTTTCCGTTGCCCCGTCCGGTTCCGTTTCTGCTAACTACTCTTCCTCCCATTCCTCTCCTGTCGCTTCCCCTTCCCCCTCCCCTCCCGCTGCTGCCACTGGGGGCGGGGGTGGTGCTGCTGCTGCTGCCAAGCCGCCTTTTTCTCCTTCTGCTGCTGCTGCTGCTGCTGCCAAGCCCCTTTCTCCTTCTGCTGCTGCTGCTGCTGGGGATGGTGCTGCTGCAGGGGCAGGAGTAGAAGCAGCAGCAGCACTCGAACCAATTACCAGCGGCGTCAGCAACAGCAGCAGTGGTAGCGGGGTGGCTCTATGGTCGTACGCCCAGCTTCTAGACATGATATTCGAGCGCCAGTCAGACGATCTCCCTGACTGGCACGATATGGCAACAGGCATGGTGGAAGGGTTGTGGGCGGCTATACAGGCCAAGGCACCCCTTGTGGCTGCTGCTGTGGCGGATTCGGGGGATGGGGGGGATGCGGGGAAGAAGAAGGAGGAGGAAGAAAAGAAGATGAAGAAAAAGAGTGGATTTTTTAAGCTTGGGGGGGGGAAAGAGGGGAAGGAGAAGGGGGATGGAGGGGGAAAGGCTGGTGGCGGCGGCGGTGGGGGTAGAGGGGGAGGGAAGGTTCCGGTTCAGGAGATCTTGAGAGGGCTTTATCTCTTCAACAACGCGGCCTACATTCAATCGTGAGTGGGGTGGGGTCTTGGAAAGGGTTGTCTCCTGGTGGTGGTGGCAGTGGGTTTCGTGGAGGCGAGGTTCCGGTTCTCTAGTTGACTCAAGTTTCAGTCCAGGAGATCCTGAGATGGCTGCATCTCTTCAGCAACACGGCCTGCATGCAATCGTGAGTGGCTCAAGTGGTTTTGAGTGGTGCAATGCAGTGCGGTGGGGTGTGGTGCAGTTCTCAGTACATTGCAGCGCTGGACAGGGCAGGCCAGGCCAGTGCGGTGCATTGCATTGCAGTGCAGCGCAGTGCGGTGAAGAGCAGTGCTGTGCAGTGTAGTGCGGTGTGGTGCAGCACGGCACGGTGCAGTGCAGTCAGAACAGTCTGTTGTTCCCCGACCTGCGTTCCCAGGACTTTCAGCAACTGTCACACACACATTCAGCTCAACCCATTCCCTTCGTCCCCCCAACGCATTCGCCCATTCCCCACCACTCCCCACCCCTCTCTTCGCAGTCTGTTCCCTGACCTGAGTCTCTCAATGGAATTCCGGCAGGTGGCAGACACTCAGATGAACCGCTTCCTTCATCCCTCTACCCATGCATGTTTCTCCCCCACAACTTCCCCCTCCTCCCCCCTTCGCCCCACTTCTCCCTGCTCCCCCATGCCCCCCATCCCACTTCTCCCCCCTCCTCCTTGCAGCCTGTTCCCCGACCTGCGTCTCTTGAAGGAGTATCGGCAGCTGGCAGACACTCAGATGAACCGCTTCCTTCATCCTCAATGGAATCCCTCTACTCATGCATGTTTCTCCCCCACCACTTCCCCCTCCCACCCACCCACCCCCCTCCCCACCTTGCAGCCTGTTCCCCAACTTGCGTATGTCAAAGGAGTATCGGCAGCTCGCAGACACGCAAATGAACCGCTTCCCTCATCCTCCTATTCATACCTGTTTCTCCCCCACCCACTCCTCCCCACGACCCCTTCCACTTGTTCTCCCTTTCCCCCCTCCCCCCTCCTCCTATGCAGCCTGTTCCCTGACCTGCGTATGTCAAAGGAGTATCGGCAGCTCGCAGACACGCAGATGAACCGCTTCTTGGATGTGCTGCTGAAAGATGTGAGCGAGTGGGAAGGTTTTGAGAGGGGTGGGGTGGGTGTGGGAGGAATTGTGTGGGGCTAGGAGGGGTGGAGTGGGATGTGAGAGGGGTGGGGTGGGATGTGAGAGGGGTGGGATGGAATGTGAGAGGGGTGAGTGGGATGGGATGTGAGAGGGGTGGGATGGGATGTGAGAGGGGTGGGTAGGATGGGATGGCAGCTGGCAGACACGTAGATGAACCGCCTCCTGGACGTGCTGCTGAAAGATGTGAGCGGGGTGGGAATGGGTGAGATTGGGTGGGCTTCGGTGGGATTGGGTGGGATTGGGTGGGATTGGGTGGGATTGGGTGGGATAACTGTGACCTTTGAGTCGACTCAGCTGGCAGACACACAGATGAACCGTCTCCTGGACGTGCTGCTGAAAGAGTGAGCAGGGTGGGTGGGAGTGGGTGGGGGGTTTGGGAGGGGTGGGTTTTGGTGTGGTGGGATGTGAAGAGGTGGGATGGGGTGGGATGGCAGCTGGCAGACACCCAGATGAGCCACTTTCTAGATGTGCTGGTGCCATCCATAGGGGCACCCACCCTCCATTGACATCTCCCCTTCTCTCGCTCGCTCTTACATCTCTCCCCATCCCTCTGCTTCTTCCTCTCCCCCCTTTCCCTTACCTCCTCTCCTCCACACACCCCTGCATACACACATGCCATCCCTAGGCGCACCCACCACCGACATCTCACCTTCTTCCTTTCCTTCTCCCTCACACCTCTCTTCCCCACATCCTCTCTCCCTCGTACTTCTCACACCTCTCTCGCCCCTCCCCTCCACTTCCACCACATGCACAGATGATGGCTTTCATAGGCGCACCCACCAGAGGCATTTCTCCTCTCTCCTCTCCTCGCTCCGTTATATCTATCTACTCTCCCTTCCTTCCCTCCCCCTCCCGCCCTCTCCATTCCCTCCTCCCCTCGCCCCACTCCCCCCCATGCACAGATGATGGCATCCATAGGCGCACCCACCTCGGGCATGTCTCCTGCTTTCCTCCCCTCCTCCCCTCCTCCCCTCCTCCCCTCCTCCCCTCCTCCCGTGTCTCTCCATTATCCTTTCACTCGTCCCACCCCCCCGACCCCCCCCCCCCACCCCCCCAATGCACAGATAATGGCATCCATAGGCGCACCCACCACGGGCATTTCTCCTGCCCCCCACTCCTCTCTCCCTTACATCCACACACTTGCCTTGTCCCCCCTCTCTTCCTCCACTTCCCCCCATGCACAGATGATGGCATCCATAGGCGCACCCACCATGGAAATTTCTTTCCCTCTCCTCTCGTCGCCCCCTTACATCTAACTACTCTCCCTTCCTTCCCTCCCGCTCCTACCCTCTCCCTTCCCTCCTCCCCTCGCCCCACACCCGCCCCATGCATAGATGATGGCATCCATAGGCGCACCCACCACAGGCATTTCTCCTGCCGAGTTCCAGAAAAGGTAGGATGAGAAGATGGGATGAATTGCGATGAGGTGGGATGGGTTCAGTGGGTTCATGCATAGTCTTCGTGTAAATAATAATAATAATAATAATAATAATAATAAAACAGGAGTTATTTTGTCTTTCTATTTCATTTTATCTCTTCCCTGCCAAGCTCTGGTAATGGCAAGGTCGCGGATGAGACGAGTGGGGTTGGTGCATAGAACCCAACCCACTCTCCACGCCCGGCATATCTAGAAGTGAAATATCTTGTCACCTCCCCTACCCCTCCCCCTCCACGTCCCTTTTCTGGAACTCGGCAGGAGGAATGCCCGTTGTGCAAATTCTTCTCACCCCTTCTCACCCCTTCTCACCCCTTCTCGCCCCGCATTCCCTCCCCATGCACAGATGATGGGGTCCATATCTCCCCTGCCTGGCATATCTGGAAGTGAAATATCCTCTCACCCCTCGTCCCCCTCTTTGTCCCTTCGCCTTCTCTCTTCCCATCCTCGCTTCCCTTTCCACATTGAATGCTTCTTCCTCCTCCGTTCTCCTTCAGACTTGACGCATTCAATGTGGCATTTGGGGGGCTCTGTTGTGCAAATTCCACATGCATGCACGAACCAACCCAATGATGCGCAACCTTTCTCTCCCTCCACCCTCCTCTTACTCGATCCACAAACGTTTTCACCCTCCACCGCCCCTTAATCCCTTCCCTTTCACCCCTTTTCCAGACTGGATGCATTCAATGTGGCGTTTGAGGAGCTCTGTTTCAACATGCGCCGATTCCACGTGCACGACTCGGTGGCGCGCACGCAGATCCGCGGCCTGTGCCACGAGCGCATACTCTCCTCCTACAAGGACTTCCTCATGCCCTTCAGGTAACCTGTCTGTGTTGTTTCCCCCCCTCCCCCTCTCCTGTGCCACGAGCGCATACTCTCCTCCTACAAGGACTTCCTCATGCCTTCAGGTAACCTGTCTGTGTTGTTTCCCCCCCTCCCCCCTCTCCTGTGCCACGAGCGCATACTCTCCTCCTACAAGGACTTCCTCATGCCCTTCAGGTAACCTGTCTGTGTTGTTTCCCCCCCTCCCCCTCTCCTGTGCCACGAGCGCATACTCTCCTCCTACAAGGACTTCCTCATGCCCTTCAGGTAACCTGTCTGTGTTGTTCCCCCCCTCCCCCTCTCCTGTGCCACGAGCGCATACTCTCCTCCTACAAGGACTTCCTCATGCCCTTCTAGGTAACCTGTCTGTGTGTTCCCCCCCTCCCCCTCTCCTGTGCCACGAGCGCATACTCTCCTCCTACAAGGACTTCCTCATGCCCTTCAGGTAACCTGTCTGTGTTGTTTCCCCCCCTCCCCCCTCTCCTGTGCCACGAGCGCATACTCTCCTCCTACAAGGACTTCCTCATGCCCTTCAGGTAACCTGTCTGTGTTGTTTCCCCCCTCCCCCTCTCCTGTGCCACGAGCGCATACTCTCCTCCTACAAGGACTTCCTCATGCCCTTCAGGTAACCTGTCTGTGTTGTTCCCCCCCTCCCCCTCTCCTGTGCCACGAGCGCATACTCTCCTCCTACAAGGACTTCCTCATGCCCTTCAGGTAACCTGTCTGTGTTGTTCCCCCCCTCCCCCTCTCCTGTGCCAACGAGCGCATACTCTCCTCCTACAAGGACTTCCTCATGCCCTTCAGGTAACCTGTCTGTGTTGTTTCCCCCCCTCCCCCTCTCCTGTGCCACGAGCGCATACTCTCCTCCTACAAGGACTTCCTCATGCCCTTCAGGTAACCTGTCTGTGTTGTTTCCCCCCCTCCCCCTCTCCTGTGCCACGAGCGCATACTCTCCTCCTACAAGGACTTCCTCATGCCCTTCAGGTAACCTGTCTGTGTTGTTCCCCCCCTCCCCCTCTCCTGTGCCACGAGCGCATACTCTCCTCCTACAAGGACTTCCTCATGCCCTTCAGGTAACCTGTCTGTGTTGTTCCCCCCCTCCCCCTCTCCTGTGCCACGAGCGCATACTCTCCTCCTACAAGGACTTCCTCATGCCCTTCAGGTAACCTGTCTGTGTTGTTCCCCCCCTCCCCCTCTCCTGTGCCACGAGCGCATACTCTCCTCCTACAAGGACTTCCTCATGCCCTTCAGGTAACCTGTCTGTGTTGTTTCCCCCCCTCCCCCTCTCCTGTGCCACGAGCGCATACTCTCCTCCTACAAGGACTTCCTCATGCCCTTCAGGTAACCTGTCTGTGTTGTTCCCCCCCTCCCCCTCTCCTGTGCCACGAGCGCATACTCTCCTCCTACAAGGACTTCCTCATGCCCTTCAGGTAACCTGTCTGTGTTGTTCCCCCCCTCCCCCTCTCCTGTGCCACGAGCGCATACTCTCCTCCTACAAGGACTTCCTCATGCCCTTCAGGTAACCTGTCTGTGTTGTTCCCCCCCTCCCCCTCTCCTGTGCCACGAGCGCATACTCTCCTCCTACAAGGACTTCCTCATGCCCTTCAGGTAACCTGTCTGTGTTGTTCCCCCCCCTCCCCCTCTCCTGTGCCACGAGCGCATACTCTCCTCCTACAAGGACTTCCTCATGCCCTTCAGGTAACCTGTCTGTGTTGTTTCCCCCCCTCCCCCTCTCCTGTGCCACGAGCGCATACTCTCCTCCTACAAGGACTTCCTCATGCCCTTCAGGTAACCTGTCTGTGTTGTTTCCCCCCCCTCCCCCTCTCCTGTGCCACGAGCGCATACTCTCCTCCTACAAGGACTTCCTCATGCCCTTCAGGTAACCTGTCTGTGTTGTTTCCCCCCCTCCCCCTCTCCTGTGCCACGAGCGCATACTCTCCTCCTACAAGGACTTCCTCATGCCCTTCAGGTAACCTGTCTGTGTTGTTTCCCCCCCTCCCCCTCTCCTGTGCCACGAGCGCATACTCTCCTCCTACAAGGACTTCCTCATGCCCTTCAGGTAACCTGTCTGTGTTGTTTCCCCCCCTCCCCCTCTCCTGTGCCACGAGCGCATACTCTCCTCCTACAAGGACTTCCTCATGCCCTTCAGGTAACCTGTCTGTGTTGTTCCCCCCCTCCCCCTCTCCTGTGCCACGAGCGCATACTCTCCTCCTACAAGGACTTCCTCATGCCCTTCAGGTAACCTGTCTGTGTTGTTTCCCCCCCTCCCCCTCTCCTGTGCCACGAGCGCATACTCTCCTCCTACAAGGACTTCCTCATGCCCTTCAGGTAACCTGTCTGTGTTGTTTCCCCCCCTCCCCCTCTCCTGTGCCACGAGCGCATACTCTCCTCCTACAAGGACTTCCTCATGCCCTTCAGGTAACCTGTCTGTGTTGTTCCCCCCTCCCCCTCTCCTGTGCCACGAGCGCATACTCTCCTCCTACAAGGACTTCCTCATGCCCTTCAGGTAACCTGTCTGTGTTGTTTCCCCCCCTCCCCCTCTCCTGTGCCACGAGCGCATACTCTCCTCCTACAAGGACTTCCTCATGCCCTTCAGGTAACCTGTCTGTGTTGTTCCCCCCCTCCCCCTCTCCTGTGCCACGAGCGCATACTCTCCTCCTACAAGGACTTCCTCATGCCCTTCAGGTAACCTGTCTGTGTTGTTTCCCCCCCTCCCCCTCTCCTGTGCCACGAGCGCATACTCTCCTCCTACAAGGACTTCCTCATGCCCTTCAGGTAACCTGTCTGTGTTGTTCCCCCCCTCCCCCTCTCCTGTGCCACGAGCGCATACTCTCCTCCTACAAGGACTTCCTCATGCCCTTCAGGTAACCTGTCTGTGTTGTTCCCCCCCTCCCCCTCTCCTGTGCCACGAGCGCATACTCTCCTCCTACAAGGACTTCCTCATGCCCTTCAGGTAACCTGTCTGTGTTGTTCCCCCCCCTCCCCCTCTCCTGTGCCACGAGCGCATACTCTCCTCCTACAAGGACTTCCTCATGCCCTTCAGGTAACCTGTCTGTGTTGTTCCCCCCCTCCCCCTCTCCTGTGCCACGAGCGCATACTCTCCTCCTACAAGGACTTCCTCATGCCCTTCAGGTAACCTGTCTGTGTTGTTCCCCCCCTCCCCCTCTCCTGTGCCACGAGCGCATACTCTCCTCCTACAAGGACTTCCTCATGCCCTTCAGGTAACCTGTCTGTGTTGTTCCCCCCCTCCCCCTCTCCTGTGCCACGAGCGCATACTCTCCTCCTACAAGGACTTCCTCATGCCCTTCAGGTAACCTGTCTGTGTTGTTCCCCCCCTCCCCCTCTCCTGTGCCACGAGCGCATACTCTCCTCCTACAAGGAGTTCCTCATGCCCTTCAGGTAACCTGTCTGTGTTGTTCCCCCCCTCCCCCTCTCCTGTGCCACGAGCGCATACTCTCCTCCTACAAGGACTTCCTCATGCCCTTCAGGTAACCTGTCTGTGTTGTTCCCCCCCTCCCCCTCTCCTGTGCCACGAGCGCATACTCTCCTCCTACAAGGACTTCCTCATGCCCTTCAGGTAACCTGTCTGTGTTGTTCCCCCCCTCCCCCTCTCCTGTGCCACGAGCGCATACTCTCCTCCTACAAGGACTTCCTCATGCCCTTCAGGTAACCTGTCTGTGTTGTTCCCCCCCTCCCCCTCTCCTGTGCCACGAGCGCATACTCTCCTCCTACAAGGACTTCCTCATGCCCTTCAGGTAACCTGTCTGTGTTGTTCCCCCCCTCCCCCTCTCCTGTGCCACGAGCGCATACTCTCCTCCTACAAGGACTTCCTCATGCCCTTCAGGTAACCTGTCTGTGTTGTTCCCCCCCTCCCCCTCTCCTGTGCCACGAGCGCATACTCTCCTCCTACAAGGACTTCCTCATGCCCTTCAGGTAACCTGTCTGTGTTGTTCCCCCCCTCCCCCTCTCCTGTGCCACGAGCGCATACTCTCCTCCTACAAGGACTTCCTCATGCCCTTCAGGTAACCTGTCTGTGTTGTTCCCCCCCTCCCCCTCTCCTGTGCCACGAGCGCATACTCTCCTCCTACAAGGACTTCCTCATGCCCTTCAGGTAACCTGTCTGTGTTGTTCCCCCCCTCCCCCTCTCCTGTGCCACGAGCGCATACTCTCCTCCTACAAGGACTTCCTCATGCCCTTCAGGTAACCTGTCTGTGTTGTTCCCCCCCTCCCCCTCTCCTGTGCCACGAGCGCATACTCTCCTCCTACAAGGAGTTCCTCATGCCCTTCAGGTAACCTGTCTGTGTTGTTCCCCCCCTCCCCCTCTCCTGTGCCACGAGCGCATACTCTCCTCCTACAAGGACTTCCTCATGCCCTTCAGGTAACCTGTCTGTGTTGTTCCCCCCCTCCCCCTCTCCTGTGCCACGAGCGCATACTCTCCTCCTACAAGGACTTCCTCATGCCCTTCAGGTAACCTGTCTGTGTTGTTCCCCCCCTCCCCCTCTCCTGTGCCACGAGCGCATACTCTCCTCCTACAAGGACTTCCTCATGCCCTTCAGGTAACCTGTCTGTGTTGTTCCCCCCCTCCCCCTCTCCTGTGCCACGAGCGCATACTCTCCTCCTACAAGGACTTCCTCATGCCCTTCAGGTAACCTGTCTGTGTTGTTCCCCCCCTCCCCTCTCCTGTGCCACGAGCGCATACTCTCCTCCTACAAGGACTTCCTCATGCCCTTCAGGTAACCTGTCTGTGTTGTTCCCCCCCTCCCCCTCTCCTGTGCCACGAGCGCATACTCTCCTCCTACAAGGACTTCCTCATGCCCTTCAGGTAACCTGTCTGTGTTGTTCCCCCCCTCCCCCTCTCCTGTGCCACGAGCGCATACTCTCCTCCTACAAGGACTTCCTCATGCCCTTCAGGTAACCTGTCTGTGTTGTTCCCCCCCTCCCCCTCTCCTGTGCCACGAGCGCATACTCTCCTCCTACAAGGACTTCCTCATGCCCTT